AGACTCACATGTTAAAAGCAGACCCACAACTGCAAAGTAATAAAAGTGCAGAAACTGGGCACATGGAACTAAAACTGCTGAGAAGTGATAATACTGAGGAAATATCATGAGCAACCAGGAATAAAGATGAATCCGTTTCCCTAGAGAAACAATTGTATTTCCAGCCTTAACAAAAATAATAGAAAAGGACAAAATATGATGCATTCAGAGTATAAAGAACAAATTGCAAATCTGTAATTCTCAACTGAGCCCAAGTACTTTATGATAACACAAGTAAACTAAAGCTTTAGAGAACAAAACAGAAAATTTACCACCAGTTAGCACACACCAAAGGAAACATTAAATGATCTTCCTCAGATATAAAGAATAATCTACTGACTATATCTTTCCTACACAGAAATGCAGAAAAAAATGAAGAATTTGAGGAAGAAAGATATGTGGGCCAATCTAAGAGGCTCTTAACCATACAAAATAAGAAATCATGTGTGTTATATTCAAAAGTGTATACATGATTGCTTGTAATTTAAGGGGTGCCATTGGTGAAACTTAAAACAAAAATGTATTAAAGGTCTCATGTTAACTAATAAAAGTGACACAGAATAAGATATTATCTGAATGTTCTTAGTCAAGAAAGCATAATGCCGTTTGTACACTAACATTAAAACAAAGTTGACTACCCACACACATACACACCACAGAACAATCAATCTGATTATGAGAGTAATCTCAAACAATAACACACATCAATCCATAAGAAAAGCAGAGAAAAGTAAACACGAAGAACCTAAGCATATACCTGATCTTAACATAAGTTAGTAGAATTAAACAGATACAAATTAGAAATCATATTAAAGACACTGTCTCTTGGGTCATTTACTCTGGAGGAAGGCAGCCTTCATGTCATGAACATCCAAGCAAGGTGCAGAGTAACATGAAAAGGATCTAAGACTCCCACACCAAGAGTGAGCACATAGTTCTAACCACGAGAGTCAACTTTGAAACTCCAAGCACAGTCACGTTTCAGATAACTATAGACCTGCCAGCATCACAATTGCAGCCTTTTGACAGACAAATTAGGAAATTAGGCAGTATCCAGCTAAGCTGCACCCTCACGTGAATTGTAGGAAGTAATAAATAGTTGTTGTTTTAAGCCATTAAGTTTGGGAATAAGTTGTTATGCAGCAGCAGGCAAAGGATTCATTATGTAAACAGAAAACAACTACAACAGAATAACTAACATAAGTGCATTAATAACCCATAAAAAGGCTTTTAGCCTTGTTTGAAAGAGACGCAAGTCCTAGTAATAAGAGGATCAACTCACTATGAATATATAAAAGTTCTAAATATTTATGCTCCCAGGAATAGTTTATAGGTTAAAGCACAGAGATAATTTTGTCACGATCAAGTAAAGATATAAATCAATAATTACATATTATTTACAAAATTCCAATGTTGCAAAATAGCATACAATGTATATACTATTTATAGTGGTATATAGATTATACTATTAATAGTATATATAGTATATATAATAGTATATAATATTATATAATATGATAGTATATAAATACATAGGTATACTAAAGCCATTTTCAGAGAAAAAAATTATAGCTATAAATATATTATAAAAGAAGACAAACAAAATCATTAAAATTTAAGCATGTATTTCAAGAAAAAGAACTATAAATTAAAGCCACAGAAAGTAAGAGAATGATAATTGCAGAAGGTAAAATTGATGAAATAAAAAAACAAATATAGGGCTGAGTGTGGTGGCTCACTCCTGTAATCCCAGCTCTCTGGGAGGCCGAAGCAGGCAGATTGCCTGAGCTCAAGAGTTCCAGATCAGCCTGAGAAAGAGCGAAATCTTGTCTCTAAAAACTATCCAGGTGTTGTGGTGGGCACCTGTAGTTCCAACTACTGGGGAGACTAAGGCAAGAGGCTCTCTTGAACCCCAAAAGTTTGAGGTTGCTAGGAGCTATGACGCCATAGTGCTCTATAAAGAGCAATGAAGTGAAACTATGTCTCAAAAATGAATAAATAAATAAACAAATAAATAATATAATCATCAAAGTCAACACTGGTTATCTAAAACTACTAAAATTTTAACTTCTTAGTAATACTAATAAAAAGTTAAAATTCCTGTAATAATTTTCCAGGAATAAATAATAAGATATCATTATGTTCTTATAGGAAAATA